TGGCCCTGACAGGTAGGTTGGAAGCCTGCCTACTTAATTGTGTAAATTTATCGATAGAGGCATAATAAAAACTATGTTTTTAAAAGTGAAATTTTACTTTTCTTCCTTGCATTCTGGCCGCTCTTTTTCATCAGGTTCTGTGAGGGGAATGAATGAATGAATGAATGAATGAATGAATGAGTGAATGAATGAATGAATGAATGAATGAATGAATGAATGATTGAATGATTGAATGATTGAATGATTGAATGAGTGAGTGACGGCAGTCCTGTTGCGCATTTCATAACCACACGCCAGATTGAGGTCGTCTCAATTTTGCTATACAAAAGTTTTCAAAACCAAATGAAAGATTTCTTATCTTCATATAAGGTGCGGGTGGCTGGAAGGTGCCTTTGGTAGTCCCTACCCCTTTACTATCCCTCTTTTCTCTCTGTCATACTCTTGCCCTGTTCGAAGTGACCGTTGTTGTGTCGATGTGCCTCTCTTCATACAAAATGTTCCCGTGGGTGATTGGTGGGTGCTCTGTGGTTTGCTCCTTCTTTCCTGCAAATATTTATCACCCTGCTCCCTCCTCCTATTTTGAGTTTGTTACTCTCTTGTAACACCTCTTATCTACTGCACTTTTATGACCTAAATGTTTTGCAAGTGCCGTAAAACTCTTACTAAAAACAAACTCTTTCCGGCACTCATATAATCTACTTGTGTTGCGTGTGCTGTAAAACTCTCCCAAAAAAAACAACTCTTTCCAGGTGCTGTATGGACATTAGTAGTTCGACACCTTGCTCTGCTTTTCATATTGCTGTGCCACTCACAAGACAGACTCTGGGGAGGGAAAGAGGGAGGGGGGCGGCGCCAGCGATGAACGTTTCCGGAAGCTTGTCGTGCTATTGATTGGGTGTGCGGTGCACACACACACACACACACACACACACACGCACACGCACACGCACACGCACACGCACACACACATACACACACGCACACACACACGCGCGCGTAAGTGTGCGCACACAAATACAACGCACAAATACACGCACCTATAAACATACAAACTCATTATAAACACACGCTCATACAC